CCTGTGCAGCAGATTTGCCCAATGCAATACCCGGATATAGAACTATCCAAAGTAAAACAAACCTACAAGATTGAAAATAGCGAAGCATAGATCTCAATTTATAACAAAGACAATTGCAAAGAAGACAGTTACAGAACTTCCAAATGGAGAAGATTTCAAGTAGATTTCAAGATAAAACAGGCTGCTTTAAACTCTGGAAGAAATCTACACCCAAATTACTTGGGCAAAGGGGAAAGCAATGTACAATAAGGGAGAGGTTGGAAAAAATTATAGAGGCAAGGGAAGACTGAGAATAGAACAAGAATCCAAGGCAATGGAAGCAAATACTTCTGTATCTACAATCCTGAAATAATAGTCATCAACAAATTGATGCACAAATAAACACACCGGCTGAATTAATGTGGGAGGGAGAATAGGAGTATAAATATTTGAGATCAAAAGGGCAGCAATTACCCAAGGACAAATTTCATAAGGGTTAGGAAAGACGAAGGAATGGAAACAGGAAAAACAGGGAGAAAGTGGAATAAGTGATGTTACATTGAGGGAATTGTAATCAATGAGATGAAACAAAATGTTGATGAATTCTTGAATGTAAAACTGATGAACAAATTACAAGTTTGGCAGAAGATTTTCGTACATGTGTCTTTACCATTGCAAGGAGCCATGATAGTGCTGTAGGATAAACACTGGACTGTTAACTTCAAGGTCAGCTGTTCAAAACCACTAATCACTCCCCTGGAGACAGATGAAGGTTTCTGTATCTGTAAATGTTTACAGCTTCAGGAACTCTATGAGATGGACTTGACTTGATGGCAGTGGGTGGGTTATTTACCATTGCTGCAACTATATCCATGATGTGATGGAGCATACAGAAGGCAAAGTTATGAAAATTTTTTAGATATAACCAAACATTTTGAACCACTGTCACTTTGTCATACTGTGGTGGCTTGCATGCTGCTGTGATTCTAGAAGCTATGCATGCCATGGGTATTTTAAATACCAACAGGGTCACTCACAGTGGACAGGTTTCAGCTGAGCTTCCAGATGAAGGCAGAAATGGACTACTTCCTAATATTTTGTCACTGAAAACTTTGTTAAGCAGTGGAACTCTGTCAACACCAGAATATTGAATATAGAAATATGATGAAGAACACCAGAATATTGTCAGATATAGTGCCAGAAGATGAGCTCCTCAGTTGGAAGCCACTCAAAATAAGACAGGGAAAGAGCTGCTTCCTTAAAGTAGAGTTGACTGTAATGAAACAAATGGAGTTAAACTCTCGGAATATTCATTTCTAATGGAGCACAACCCAAAATGAAAGGAAACAGTTATAAACATCCATTAATAATTAAAACATGAAATGTTCGAAGTATGAATCTAGGAAAATTGGAAATGATAAAAAATGAAATGGAACACATATATTGAAACATCAATATTCTAGGCATTAATGAGCTGAAATTGACTGGTATTGGTCATTTTGAATCCGACAATCCCAAGGTTTACTATGCTGGGAATGACAAATTGAAGAGGAACAGCAGCACATTCATCATCCAAAAGAACATTTCAAGATCTGCCTTGAAACAATGCTGTCTGTTCTAGGGTAATATTCATCCGCCTAAAAGGAAGACCAGTTAATACCACTATTATTCAAATTTACACACTAACCACTAAAGCCAGTGATGATGAAATGGAAGAATTCTATCAACTTCAGTCTGGAATTGATCAAATATGCAATCAAGATGTATTGGCGATTGGAGCGCAAAGGTTGGAAATAAAAGAAGGATCAAGAGTTGGAAAATCTGGCCTCAGTGATAGAAACGATGCTGGAAATTGCATGATAAGAATTTTGCAAGATGAATGACTTCCTCATTGTAAATGCCTTTTTAAAATAGCATAAAAGGTGATTATACACATGGACCTCACCAGATGAAATACACAGAAATCAAATGGACTACATCTGTGGAAAGAGAAGGTGAAAAAGCTCCATATCACTAGTCAAAACAAGGCCTGGGGCAGACTGTGAAATAGACTGTGCAATAGAAATTGCTCAT